GGTTAACAGATTATTGCAGCGTCCTCTTCAGTGATTGCTTGTCTCCCGCCGGGATGTCGCCTCTGCCCAGTTGGACCTCGTACCCTAGTGCAGTGTTGTGCAGCCACTCGTCTCCCGTCCCAAGTCGGGTGATGTGGGATTGAGCCAGGCAGGAGGATATTCAGGTTTTGGTTTTAACCTTCATGCGCTTCCAGCTGGGCTCGGGCTTCATTCACCCTTTAGAAAGATCACCACCACCTACTCTAATCGTGTAGACTTACTGCAGCCTGGTTTCTCTGTTACAATAAAGTTACTGCGACCCAACCACTGTCGACTATGTTTTATTTTCTCTTTAATGGGAGGAAAGGGCAGGAGTGGGTGTATATCCCAGAACTCTGAAGTCATGTCCAGCTGACCATGAGCCAATGGGTGTGTGAGCTGTTCTGAATGTAAACTAAAGCCACATCCTTGTCTTGCTCTCACTCAGCTTGTCTAGTCCAAAGATGTTGGAAATGTAGATACGATCCACTGGACCGTGGGGGACAAGTGGAGTACCTCAAAGGATCTGTGGGTGTCAGCAGGGAGCAGAGGAGATGGAGGGGAGGTGGCAGCTTCAGATGGCTCTGGGAGTGAGGTAGGTAATCTAAACAATGAAGGTAAAGTTAAGAGTGATGCCACCTGGATGTAAGATGACCACTGGGGACAGACCCTCATCCCCAGTAATCAGAAATAGGGAAGTGAGAGGTGCTGTGAGAATGAAAGTCTAGGATGGCACGTCTTCAATTTTTCAAATAACACAAATCCTGTTTTTATTTTATATATGTATTTATTGAATTCAGAGAGAAAGAAAGGGAGAGGGAAACATTCATGTGAAAGAAACATCGATGAGCTGTCTTCCATATGGAGACCAAAACCCCAACCTGGGTATGTGCCGTGACTGGGAACTGAACCGGTGACCTTTTGGTGCAGGGAATTGAACCTGAAACATGGACCCCAACCGGGAATTGAACCATGACCTCCTGGTTCATAGGTCGACACTCAACCATTGAGCCATACCAGCTGGACCACAATCCTATTTTTCTGGAACATCTATTGATGCTTAAAAGTTGGCAACTGAGCCCTAACCGGTTTGGCTCAGCAGATAGAGCGTCGGCCTGCAGACTGAAGGGTCCCAGATTCGATTCCAGCCAAGGGCATGTACCTTGGTTGCGGGCACATCCCCAGTTTGGGGTGTGCAGGAACCAGCTGATGTTTATAACTCTATCCCTCTCCCTCTCTGTAAAGAATCAATAAAATATATTTTTTTAAAAAAAAGTTGGCAACTGATTCAACTTTTTAAAAATATATTTTTAATGATTTCAGAGAGGAAAGGGGAGGGAGAAAGAGATAGAAACATCAATGATGGGATAGATTGGCTGCCTCCTGCACTCCCCCACACTGGAGATCGAGCCTGCAACCCGGGCATGTGCCCCAACAGGGAATTGAACCGTGGCCTCCTAGTTCATAGGTCGACAACCACTGAGTTATGCTGGCCTGGCCTGATTCAATTTTTTTAATGATTTACAGGCAAGATGCAAACAATAGGTCACCAGTTTGCAACCTCTACCATAAAGTCATCTACTCTGTCAGCAGACATGGAGCAATGGCGCCTGCTAGGCATCAAGGTTACGCTGTCCCCTTCTGCTTAGTGCTAGGAGCCATGCAAGGTGGGCCAAGCCGGCAATGGAGCAGAGGTCAGGCCCCGAGGAGTGGGCAGCGGGCTTAGCTTGCTCTTTCCCTCTTGTTGCTCACTCCCTGAGGGGCACAGGGCACAGCAGGCTTGCTCCTGACCCCGGCGCTTCTGTGTCCCTGTTGGGAACGGATGCACCAAGGTGGTAAATGGATAAGTAAGTGAGCTTATCTGGAATGGGCTTTCCCTGATGTCTTTGGTAAGGTATCTTAAAAGGAAAACAGCATGTTATTCTGCTGCTCCGTTCAGGAACTGACTGCCCAGGTTAACAGAAGCAGCTTTAAGTCTCCCTGATGGAACCACATGGTTGAAAGTTGGCCACCGAGACAGCAACCTGACCACCCTGCTGACCTCGTTATTTTTAACCACAGGTATTGCCAGCTCACCCTGGACTAAGGCCCTTTCCTCACCAAACAGTCACGTGGGGTGTGTTTTTCTCAGCAGTTCAGACTGTTTGCCTTCAACCCTATCCTAGTTTTCTAGTCTGGGTCGAATATGTTCATGTTCACTCAATGGAGGAAGTAGTTTGTCTGCTCAGAATAGCCTCTGTTTTTTTGTTCGTTTGTTTTTCTTTTTAAAATATATTTTTATTGATTTCAGAGAGGAAGGGAGAGGGAGAGAGATGAAAACATCAATGATGAAAGAGAATCATTGATCGGCTGCCTCCGGCATGCCCCCCACTGGGGATTGAGCCCACAACCTGGGCATATGCCCTGATCAGGAATTGAACCGTGACCTCCTGGTTCATAGGTTGACACTCAACCACTGAGCCTCACTGGGCAGGCATGCCTCTGTTTATTATAGTTCAAAGTAGAATAGTTTCCAAATCTGGATTTAAAAAAATATATATTGTTTCCCTAGCCTTATCTCTGGACATTCTGACCCAATATGTCTGAGATAAGGTTTGGGAGTCATTTTGTTCTTCAAATAATAAAAAGAGAAAATTTTCTAGGCGGTTCAGAAACACCCAATCCTTTGACCAGCCATTGGGTACTATTGGACTGAACTCCCTCAGGCTTCCATCTACATGATCAAAGTCCAGCTCACTCAACCAGCCTGAGAATTTTTTTAACCTTTTTCCTTTTGGACTGTGGAACTTTTTTTCATAGAAATTGTTGGTTTGTATCTAATAAATAGAAGATAATTTTTTTCTTTTTTAAAAATGATAATCTTATAAAACTCTTTGAGAAGCCCTGGCCAGGTAGCTCATTTAGTTAAAGTTGTCCAGATATGCCAAGTTTGTGGGTTCAATCCCCAGTCAGGGCACATATGTACAAGAGTCAAACAAAATATAAATAAGTGGAACAAGTCCCTCTCTAAAATCAATGTTTGTAGTCTTATAATTTTTTAATTGATTTCAGAGGAAGGAGGGAAGGGAGAGAGAGAGAGAAAGAAATATCAACATGAGAGAAAACATCAATTGGTTGCTCCCTGCACGTGCCCCAACCAGAGATGGAACCCGCAAGCTGGGTATGTGCCCTGACGGGGAATTGAACCCACCGGCTTTTGGTGTACATCACACCAACCAGAGAAATTTTTTAAATCTTGAGAATTTGTATGCAGAATATATAAAAGAACACACTTCAAGAATAAAAAGAAAAATAACCCAACTAATAACTGGGAAAAGTATCTGAATAGACATTTCTCCAAAGACACACTAATGGCCAATAAGCACATGAAAAGATGCTATAATCACTAGTCATCCGGAAAATGCAAATAAAAACCATAATGGGAATTACAGGATGACTGTAATGAAAAGGACAGAATATAATAAGGGTCACCAAGGATGTGAAGAAATTGGACCCCTCACACAATGTTGATAGGAATGTAAAATAGTGGAGCTGCTTTGGAAAACAGTCCAGCAATTCTCAAAAAGTTAAATATAGGCTTACCATCTGACCTGGCAATTCCACTCTATACACTTACCCAAGACAAAAGAAAGCACACATCCACACAAACACTTGTCCATGAGTGTTCATAGCGGATTATTCACAATAGCCCAAAGTGGAAACATATCTAATGTCCAATCAACTGATGGATAAATAAAATGTGGTATAGCCATAGCATGGAATATTATCCTATACTAGAGGCCTGGTGCACAAAATTCATGAACTGGGGAGGGAAGTCCCTCAACCCGACCTGCGCCCTCTCGCAGTCCGGAAGCCCTCAGGGGATGTCCGACTGACAGCTTAGGCCCCCACCCCGCAATATGTAAGTCAACTGAACGCACACTGACCACCAGGGGGCACTCAACACATGAGCTGCCCCTTGGTGGTCAGTGCGCTCCCACTGGGGGAGCGCTGCTCAGCCAGAAGCCAGGCTCACGGCTGGCAAGCGCAGTGGTGGTGGCGAGAGCCTCTCCCACCTCCGCAGCAGTGCTAAGGACCCCTCAGGGGGTGTCTGCCTGATGGCTTAGGCGGGGAGCAGGCCTAAGCCATCAGGCAGACATCCCCCGAGGGGTCCCGGACTGCAAGAGGGCACAGGCTGGACTGAGGGACCCCCCCCCCTCCAGTGCACGAGTGTCATGCACCAGGCCTCTAGTTTAGTAATAAAATGGAATGCAATACCAATATGCTTGCTCCAACATGGATGAAACTTGATAACAGCTCATCCAAAACACCAAGTAGGTTAGTGGTGCCAGGGGCTTGGGGGAGAGGAAATGGGGCTGGGGGGTGTTTGACTACTAATGGTTACAGGGTGTGTTGGTGGGGGGAGTGATAACAATGCTGAAATTAGATAGTGGTTATGGTTGCAAAACTATAAATATACTAAAAACCGCTGTATTGGACTTTTTTTTTCAATTTTATTTTCTAATATATTTTTAATTTATTTCGGAGAGGGATGGAGAGGGAGAGAGAGAGAAACATCAATGATGAGAGAGAAACATTGATTGGCTGCCACCCACACGCCCACACGAGGAATCCAGCCCACAACCCTTGCAAGTGCCTTGGACCAGAATTGAGCCATGACCTCCTGATTCATAGGTCAATGCACAACCATTGAGCCATGCCTGCCAGGTGTACTGGACATTTTTAAAGGATCGATTTGAGGATAAAGTGCATAAAGCTCAAAAATAAAAAACTATTACTTTTAAAACCTGCAAACAGCTCAGACATCCTTCAATAAGTGACCAATTAAGCAAACCAGAACAGTACACACATACCGTGGAGACTACCTGCGGAAACTACAACTCCCAGAGTGCCCCGCGCTCGGTAGCCCGACTGTCACGTGACCTCTGTTCACGTGTCTCCCTAGCCGGCTGGGACATGAGGTACCGTGGGTAGGTGGCTGAAAGTAGAAAAGCTGGAGGGTGGGATCTTTAGGTCCTGGGGCACCCAAACCCCCGATCGCAGCAGAGCCCTGCCCACTCCCCGCAGGGCGATCAGAAGCCCGGCGTCCTTGGTCCCACGGCCGCCCTCGGTTGGCCGGTTCCTGCCCAGTCTCCACCCAGTCCTAGGCCCGGATCAAATCTCGGTGCCTCCGCCCAGTTTACCCCACAATAGCCCACTCACCTCACTGCATGCCTGGGGCCATCCCCTCCGAGCGGGGTGCGCCCTGGTCCACCTCTCAGTGAGCCCACCCCTCCTATTTCGGGGATCCAGCCGCGGGCTGGAGTGGGGTCCCGCTCCGGTTGGGAACCGAGGGGCCTCCTGCAGTGATGCCAGCTCCCCGAGGGCGCCAGGCTCCTAGTTCTGGTCCTGCCGGCTGCCCGCTGTGACTTTAGCCCAGCGTCTTCCCTCCGTGCGCCTGTTTACCTGACTGACCTGGTTGGTGCTCCCTTCTACGACTTAGAGTCCGAGCGGCCCAGCTCGCCTCAATTTGCTGACCAGCACAAAACAGCTCAAACTCATCACTCTGCTGACGGCGGCCTTTTAGCAAAGAGAAAAGAAGAAATTGGGGCCAGAGAGAGAGAAATGAGGAGAGTCAGATCCCAGGCGTTTGGGGAGAAGGAGCTGTAAGGAGCAGCACCCCTTCCACCGTAGCCCTTATCAGGTGGGAAGAGCAGGTAAGCTGGGGAGGATGGAGCTGAGTAACTGGGGGGAGGGACGGCTGAGCGATCTTACACCCCTGTTCTGAGACGTGAGCAGGGCTGAGAGGAGGTCCCACAGCTCTGGCAGCACTAGCTTTGCGGGGCTCTGCCTGGAGCTCTGCTGGGAGCCTGGGAGCCCAAGACTGTCCCTCTGCTACTCACTGCTCTGATTTTTTGGCTGAGTGGCTGGATGGGTGTCCCCTGGCTGATCTTTCTGGAGTTGGAGCCAGCAGAGGGATACTTCCTCTGGGGCTGGTGTCTTGGTTGCATGCGTGGTGACCGATGTCTAAGAGCATCATCACCTTCTTTCCTCCCTCTTGTGAGTGTACCATTCCCGACTTTGTTGGACCAGGACCAGGAGGAGCAGTGGGAACCATCTGAGTACTCAGGGGGCCTCCTTTGCCGTTCTAACCCCCGGCATGTTGAGGGCATCGGAGGGGATGGCTCTGTGGTGGGCAGTAGTTAGGTGAGCCATATGGGAGATGAGTGAGAGCTGGCCTGACTTTTGAAGGACTTCGGAAGCTAGGGAGAATCCAGACCAGCCGTGGGCAAACTACGGCCCACGGGCCAGATCCGGCCCGTTTGAAATGAATAAAACTAAAAAAAAAAAAAGACCGTACCCTTTTATGTAATGATATTTACTTTGAATTTATATTAGTTCACACAAACACTCCATCCATGCTTTTGTTCCGGCCCTCCGGTCCAGTTTAAGAACCCATTGTGGCCCTCGAGTCAAAAAGTTTGCCCACCCCTGATCCAGACTCTCGGCTGGAGGGCGGTGTGCTGATTCTGAGTGAGGGCTGCTCTTGGAACCCTGCGGTGTATAAACAGGCTGGGAAGGCAGACAGATCGGTATCCAAACCCTACTCTGCAACTTGCTAACATGTGACCCTGGACCACTGATTTGATCTCTCCAAGCCCCATGTCCCCTGTCGTAAGGATGGAATGAGATATGTCCATGACACTCCTGCCCATACATGGCCTCTTTCTAATGCTGGCAGGTTACTGCCCCTCTGTGTTATGTTTGTCTTATATACCGCCTGGGCCTGTAAGCTTGAAGCAAGCAGGATTTGCCTCGGACCTATTTCTGTCTCTGCCACCCCACACTATTGCCCCCAGTGCAGTATTCTGCACACAGGTGCCCCTGGGTTCCAGTCCCAGCCATCTGATCTGGGGGAAGTCGTTTTGCCTTTCTGTGCCCACCTTGGCATAACAGTGGTACCTGCCTTTCCTGTCTAGGCTGAGAAGAGCCAGAGCCCACAGGCCTCCTGGGAGAACAGCTCTGAACAGGGGATGTGGTGGTGAGGCAGAATCTGCAGACCCAGCTGGAAGAGGGCTGTCAGGGCCATGGCCCAGGTCAGCATCAACAGTGACCTTGGCGAGTGGGGCTTCAGCACGGATGCTGGGGAGCGGGCCCGTCTGCTGCAGAGTCCCTGTGTGGACTCGGACCCGAAGAGTGAGGGGGAGGCCTCCCCTGAAAGTCTGAGCAGAGGCACCACGTCCTCGTTTGGGGCCATCTTCATTGTAGTCAACGCCTGCCTGGGGGCAGGACTGCTCAACTTCCCAGCAGCCTTCAGCACGGCCGGGGGCGTGGCCGCGGGCATCACCCTGCAGATGGTGAGTGTGCGGGCCGAGAGGGCAGGAATGCAGTTCAGCTGGGGAGTCTGGCCTCTTTGCCTCAAAGGGGAGGCTCCGGATGAGGGGTGATCAGAGCTACCATTCTCCCCACCCTCACGCAGGGCAGATGTTACCCATCTATCCCAGCATTCTTTACTCTGAGCCCAGATGAGGTTTCAAATGCCTTTCGAGCAATCAGGGAAATTTGACATCAGTTGCATACTTAACAGTCTTGTGGTATGTTTAAAAAAGAGGCTGCCTTCATCTTTTAGAACCACATGAAATAGTACTGATGAAGTGATATGAGAACTTGTGTTTTCTTCAAAATAATCCAGAGCCTGGCCCGTGTGGCTTAGTGGTTGAGCATCGACCTATGAATCAAGTGGTCGCTGAATGGATTCCCGGTCAGGGCATGTGACCAGATGGCGGGCTTGACCCCAGTAGGGGGCTTCTTATCGATGTTTCTATCTCTCCATTCCTCTCCCTTTCTCTCTATTTATTTTTGTTCTGTCCCCACCACCCGGGCCTCCCTTTCTCTCTCTTTAAAATAAATTAAAAAATATTTTTACAAAAGAGAGAGAACGTTTTTTAAAAAATAATAATCCAGAGTGGGTGAAAGAATAGATGAAACAGGATTGGGCATGAGTTGATCATTTTTGAGGCTGAGTGATAAGGACATGGGGGTCCATTATACCATTCTTTCTACTTTTGTGTGCATTTGAAATTTTCTACAAAGCTTTTGTTTCTAAAGAAAATCTCAAGTCTCCAGTAATCTACTAAAATTGCCCTGCAATGCCCTGACCGGTTTGGCTCAGTGGATAGAGCGTCGGCCTGCAGAGTGAAGGGTTCCAGGTTCGATTTCGGTCAAGGGGCATGTAGCTTGGTTTCGGGCACATCCCCAGTAGGGGGTGTGCAGGAGGCAGCTGATGGATGTTTCTCTCTTATCGATGTTTCTAACTCTCTGTCCGTCTCCCTTCTTCTCTGTAAAAAATCAATAAAATATATTTTTTAAAATTGCCCTGCAAGGTGAGGTCTCTATGCCAAACCAGCTTTGAGCACTGGCCCCGTAAATACTGAGCAAAACCAGGCTGTCCTTTGCTGCCAGGCCTTTTCCACACCCTCCTGCTCTGCCCCTGCCCACAGGGCATGCTGGTTTTCATCATCAGCGGCCTCGTCATCCTCGCCTACTGCTCCCAGGCCAGCAACGAGCGGACCTATCAGGAGGTGGTGTGGGCTGTGTGTGGCAAGCTGACGGGCGTGCTGTGCGAGGTGTCCATTGCCATCTACACCTTCGGCACCTGCATCGCCTTCCTCATCATCATTGGGGACCAGCAGGACAAAAGTGAGGCTCCCTCTGTAGCCACCTCATCCCTCCCCCTTGGCCCTGGGAATCCTAGGGGTGGAGGGAAAGGGCATGGAACGCCTTCCCCTGGGAATCCTCCTCCCGGCTGCTGGGCCCATTAGACAGATGGAAGCCCCGAGGCCCAGCGGAGCAGGAGGGCCGCACCTTGCAGTGGCCTGGCCTGACGTTCCCTCCTTCCTCCCTGTGCAGTTATAGCTGTGTTGGCAAAGGAGCCTGAGGGGGCCGGTGGCAGCCCCTGGTACACGGACCGCAAGTTTACCATCAGCCTCACTGCCTTCCTCTTCATCCTGCCCCTGTCCATCCCCAGGGAGATCGGCTTCCAGAAGTATGCCAGGTTCGGAGGCCCCACCCCAACCTGGGCCAGACAGAACCCTGGAGACCCAAGGGCTGCCAGGGAACCCTGTCCTCCATGCCACCTCCATGCAACTCCTGGGGCGGCAAGAGCGGGCAAGGCTGGCCGGCCAGGGCTTGCACGGGTTCCAGCAGAAGGCTTTCCTTTCTGTTAGCAGCAAAGGGAGACGGTGGCCCTGAGCATCAGTGGGATATTCAGTGTCCTTGTCAAAGGGACAGGTGGCAACCAGAGGGCAAAGGCAGCCTCTGGGCCTGGACCTTAGCTTTCCCGGAGAGAATGGGACTTTTGATCAGTTGGGGTTGCCATCCGGGCAGCATCTTCCCCACAGCTTGTTATGAAGGGAGGAGACTGGCTGCCTGACTCAGGGTCTGAAAAGCTGTTTCCTGCGATCCGTAATCGGCAGGGTCGCACTCAGCTGTCTCCAGGGTCCCCTGTAATGTCGACATTCCAGTATTTGTACCTTCAACCCTTTTACCTCCGGTATCTCCTAGTTCTCAAGGGCCCTCCTTGCAGCCCTCGCCACGTGTGGGCCGCTCTGATTGAAGCCCAGCCCTCCAAGCCCTGGAGCTGAGCCAGTGCACTTCCTGATGGTCAGAAATGCCAGTCTGGTCCCCTGTGGGGTCCAGCTCCCTCCTGGCTGTGGCCAGTTTCTCCAAAACTTCTTTCTCATGCATTTCTGGAGTCTTTGCTGGAAATAGCCTCCCAAGTTGTTCAGTAGACACTTGTGGTCACTAGAACTAAGGGTAGATGCCCCTGGGGTGGGAGCAGAGAAAGGGCGGCTGGGCTGGGGAGGAAGGAGTTCCGTCCATTCTCCCCGCAGCTTCCTGAGCGTCGTGGGCACCTGGTACGTCACCGCCATCGTTATCATCAAGTACATCTGGCCGGATAAGGAGATGACCCCAGGGGACATCCTGACCAGGTGGGTGCGGACCCCCAAGAGACACGGGGGGTAGGATCGGCTGCTTGGGCCCCGGAAGGTGCCGAGTCAGACATCGAAAGGCCACACAGGTGCTCAGTGGGGCTTGGCTCATCGGTCATTGTAGGAACAAGCGGTCCTCATCTCTCTCCGCTGAAGGGAAGTGGGAACCAGAGACAGGAGAGAGTTTGCCACTAACGCCCAACCACTGAGCCAACGTGAGACGAGGCCTCAGGCTGTGGAGCCTGCCAGGATGGAGCTACACATTTTTCCAACTTGTGCGTCTCTGTAATTTCTGTATCTTCTACATGAGGATGGATCTATTTGGTCATATTTTTTTTTAAAAAAAGTTTCTTTTTTTTGCCAAAACCGGTTTGGCTCAGTGGAAAAAAAGTTTCTTTTTTTTGAAAGGAACAAACCAAAAAAAGTAAAAGCCCTGGTGTAGGAGCCAGAAATTCTGGATTTCGGTCCCAGGAGGGCCTTGCAGAGCCTCAGTTTACTGACCTGTGAAATGGAGATGTGCCCTCTCCCCATTCCCAGGCTTCTGTGGGTGGAGTGTGTAGAAGGCTCACTGGTGGAGGCCATGGTTGGCTGGAGGAAGAGTAAGGGCATGACGGGGAGGAGGGGGAGTTGGTGGCGGTGTGGGGTCCCCAGGCAGCACATTCTTGTGTTTATCCACAGGCCAGCTTCCTGGATGGCCGTGTTCAATGCCATGCCCACCATCTGCTTTGGATTTCAGGTGCCAGTTGCCAGGTCCCTGCGGCCCCCTTAGCTCACTCCCCACCCTGGGATGGAGCCCACATCACGGGCAGGATGGGGGATCCTGGGAGGAAGGATGGAGAGGGGACCCCAGGACTCGCCCCTTGTCCCTCCCTCTGGAAACGGGGGGTGAGGTCACTTCCCCAGCATAACTGTGACCTTCGCCCTGACAGTGTCACGTGAGCAGCGTGCCCATCTTCAACAGCATGCGGCAGCCCGAGGTGAAGACCTGGGGCGGGGTGGTGACGGCCGCCATGGTCATAGCCCTCGCCGTGTACATGGGCACAGGTGAGCGCTCCCGCCTTCCCTCCGTTCCTAAGCGCTCCAGCCCAGCTTTCCCGGGGACAGCTTCGCACCCTTAGCGTGTCAGACCCTTCTGTAGGCATTGGCTTGAAGTGGGGCTGCCATGGGCCTCCCCCTGCCCAAATGAGAGGAACGGGTTCATCCATTCATTCAGCAGCTCTGCCTGGTAAGTGCCAGGAACTATTCTCAGATGGGGGTGCCGTGGAGATAGGTAGGCCTGGCCCCGCCCTGGTGGAATGGATGGTCTAGTAGGAGAGAGTCTATCGAGAGAAAAGCAGGAATCCTGGATTTCAGACAGTTGAGGGCCACAGTGAAACGGGACATGTGAGTGGGACTGGGAGAGGCGCCTTTGGGGGATGGTTCACAGAAGGCTTCTCTCTGAGGGGGTGCCTTTGGGGAGGCCCACATGATGAGACGGAGTCAGAGTCGGAAGGGCTGGAGGAAGAGCATTCCAGGCAGAGGAACCAGAAACTGCTTAGTCCTTGAGCAGGGACCGATGAAAGGTGTGTGTAGCTGGAGTGGAGCAAGGAGGGGGGGTGACAAGGCCAGGTCCCCTGGGGCCTGGAGGATTGCTGGGAGCCAGAGCGAAAGTCTCGCAGGCAGGTGTGTCCGTGAGAGATGGCTGTGGGTGCTGTGGAGAACGGCTGGGATAGGGAGCAGGGCTGGGAGACCTGGAGGATGGCCCAGTGATTCCTCCACAGACAGTTCTGGGGCCTCTGCCTCTGAAGACACAGCCAGGAACCAGGCAGGCCCTGTCCTCCTGGGGCTCGTGTTCTGCTTGGAGAAGCAGATCATAAGTTAAAAAAGAAAAGGAGCCCTAACTGGTTTGGCTCAGTGGATAGCGCGTCGGCCTGCGGATGCAAGGGTTCCAGGTTCGATTCCAGCCAAGGGCATGTACCTTGGTTGCGGGCATGTCCCCGGTGGGGCGTGTGCAGGAGGCAGCTGATGGATGTTTCTCTCTCATCAATGTTTCTAACTCTCTATACCTCTCCTTTCCTCTCTGTAAAAAATCAATAAAATATATTTTAAAAACGAAAAGGAAAGAAAGAATTCAGAGAGAACGTGGGCTCTGAAGGAAATAGGCTGATGTGAGAGTGCTGGGGATGTGAGAGAGATTGTGGGCAGGCCGGGTGGGGAGGCGTCTCTAGAGAGGGGACATGGAGCCGAGACCTGAGTGGTCGGATGAAGAGCTGTCTGTGAGAGGAACGTGCGGGCAGCGTGAGATCAGAGGTGGCAGTGGGGGCAGCCGTGAGAAGGCTGGGGAGGAGGCTCTGACCCCAGCCCACCACCCTCAGCCTGCACAGCTGCTCCAACGCCCTCCCTGTCTGATGTCCCACCCAGCGGTGGGCAGTCCCTCCGCCTTCCCCTGCCAGGGTGGCGCCTTCCCGGCCCTTTGCTCCCTGCCCTCAGGCATCTGTGGCTTCCTGACCTTTGGAGCTTCTGTGGACCCCGACGTGCTCCTGTCCTACCCCTCCAACGACGTGGCCGTGGCCGTGGCGCGCGCCTTCATCATCCTGAGCGTGCTCACCTCCTACTCCATCCTGCACTTCTGTGGCCGGTGAGCCCCCGCCCAGGGGGGTGCGTCCTCGGGGCCCCTGATAACCCTTCATCCCGTGGTCCTTTGACCTTGTATGGACCCTGTTTGTAGAAGGAGAAACTGAAGCCCGTGGGGAAAAGTCAGTGCCTACCCCCAGCCGGGTCTTCCCTCCCCCCTCCCCCTTGTCCCATGGTCCCCAGAACATTCTGTGAGTCCTCTGAGAACCTCTAGTCCAGATCCTTTCCTGAACACCAGCCTTCTGGGTGTCCCAGGCCCTTCCCTTTCAGGAGAATAGAATCGGTTCCCCCGGTGACCACATCCTGGGCCAGGCAGGCGCTAAGCCCTGCACATTCACCCCCATCCAGTCCCCAGGCAGCCCCGAGATCGCTGCTGGGCCCCTTTACAGAGAGGAACAGGCTCGCCCCATCCACCCAGTCAGGGGTCTGGCTCCGGGAGCTGGTGGGGGGACTGTGAGCAGGGGAGCCTCTGAGCCCCTCCCTGTGTGCAGGGCGGTGGTCGAAGGCCTGTGGCTGCGCTACCAGGAGATGCCCGTGGAGGAGGACGTAGGGCGGGAGCAGCGGCGGCGAGTGCTGCAGACGGTGGTCTGGTTCCTGCTCACCCTGCTGCTGGCGCTCTTCATCCCCGACATCGGCAAGGTCATCTCGGTCATCGGAGGCCTGGCCGCCTGCTTCATCTTCGTCTTCCCAGGTGCGGACCCCTGGCGCCCCCGCAGCACTGCCTCCCTCCCGGCCAGAGCGCCTCCCTGGCTCTCCTGCGGGGGAGAGGAGCCGCCAGCCTGTGTGGTCACCCGCCACAGGCTCTGGGCTGACCCGGGCCCAAGCGGCGTCTGATAGGAAGATGCTGTTCTCTCCACTTCCTGACGAGGCGAAGGGAGGTTCATGACCTGAATTCAGCTAACGGGTCACAACCTTTCCAACGCCAAGCCTGTCTAGGTCCTCTACCTGTACCCTCAGTCCCGCATTCAGGTCTCTGTGGCTCCCCGGCGATCAGGGCTGTGGCTGGTCAGTCCCCAGAGGGCAGTGGGGTCTGTGGCTGCACCCTGACCCAGAAGCCGGGAGCCCTGAGTGTCAGACGGGTCTGCCACCAGGTCCCTGGGAAGCTGTCCCACCTGCCCAGCCATGAGTGCCACTTGCACCCAGTTTATTCCACCCTGACAGCCCCTGCCACTCGGCGCGGAGCAAGGGGGCCACGTCCGCTCAGCAATCACCGGGAAGGGCCCGGGCGTGCTGCCCCGTTAGCCCCGAGTGCTGCACGCGGCTCACGGTGTGCCTGTGGGTGCTGGCGTCTCCTGGGAGAGCCCATGCCAGGCCTCGGGCTGGGCGTGGGGGCAGAGGTGGAGTATCTGGAAAAGCCAACAGGCCTTTCTCCATCCACCGCTGCCTCGTGGTCAGGGGGGAGCTGGGCCCGGGGAAGGGGCCCAGCCAAGCTCTCGGGGCCGCCTCTTCTCTTCCAGGGCTGTGCCTCATTCAAGCCAAACTGTCTGAGATGGAGGAGGTCAAGCCAGCCAGGTAAAGCAGCGCCAGCCTTGTCCTCAGGGGAGGCGCTACACGGGAGGGAGCCTTCGAGGGGGCCTTAAAGTCACAGGGGTCAGGAGACTGGCCCACTTTGAAAAACGGGAGTGTTTTAAAATTCCTTTTAAAAAATGGGTAATGTGCTAGTTAGGACAGTGCAAGCCCTCCTGAAGGACCTCAGAGAGAAGAGTGGAATCCCTCCTCCCCCACAGCCCAGATGCCACCCTCCCCCACCCCAGCTCCATGTCCCAGCAGGGTCTGCGCTCTCCCGGACTCTGCATGTGTGCCTGCCTGTGTGCACACAGCTGTGAATATGTGTACACAGACACGTGGGGTTCGGAGTCTAGTTATGTGTTTTTCGTTTGTTTGTTTTTTAAATATATTTTTATTGATTTTTAGAGAGAGAGGAAGGGAGAGGGATAGGGAGATAAGAGACATCGATGAGAGAAGAACATCATGGATCGACTGCCTCATGCAGGCCCCCTACTGGGGTGGAGCCTACAACCCGGGCCTGTGCCATGACTAGGGATTGAACTGCAGCCTCATGGTTCATAGGTCAACGCCCAGCAACTGAGCCACGCCGGCCGAGCTGTTTTGTTTATTTTGTTTTAATGAAATGGCTCACACCGTGACCTGCTTTTCCCCGAAACATCTCTCCGTCAGGAGACACGCATTCTAACCCTGGTCCTGCCCTTGACCTCCTATGACCAGTCCATCCCATTAGGTCTTGGTCTCCTTACCTGTGGATTAGGGGTCATACCCCTGGCAGCACACACCTTTGTATGAAAAGTCCCTGCGAAGTAGGAAGGGCTCTCCCCACAGGAGAAGTGGTTTAGGTCAGTGGCCGCCAGTCGGTGGTCCGTGAGGTCCGAAAGGTTGGCGACCGCTGGTGTAGGTGGTTATGGTGATGAATGTGTGTGTGTGTATCGAAGTCTGCAGAGCCACGGGTGGGTTGATTGACAGGCCGGTCTCCCCCTCTGCCTACAGCTGGTGGGCGCTGGTCAGTTACGGAGTCCTCTTAGTCACCCTGGGAGCCTTCATCTTCGGCCAGACCACAGCCAACGCCGTCTTCGTGGATCTGTTGGCATAACCACGGCCTCCTTGGCACCCAGGAACCCATCTCAGAGCTGCGGGGCCATGCTGACTCGGGCTTCATTCCCCTCTCCTGGTGGGGTGATTCCAGGGACGGATCTGGGCTGAAATCGGACCCCACAGTCTGGAGCCTGCAGCACGGGCATGTGGCCTGACTGGGAATTGAACACACCAGCTCCCTTCCTGCTCCCCCGTCCTGGCGGGGCCCTGGATGGCGGGAGGGGGGCCACAGGAGCCTCCCCGCTGCCTCCAGCTCTCAGCTCCTCCAGGCCTGGAGCCCACGGTGAAGAGGCTCAGCAGGTCTCAGGAGAAGGCAGCAGCATGACTTCCCTCGGGAGAAATGGGGGCGCCCTCTCCACAGAGCAGGGGCTGTGCTCCCTCCCCAGGACTCACGCCTGCTCCATCTGTCCGCGGACCAGCCAGCAGTGGCTTCCTCTGGGCTCCGGCCAGTCCCAAAGGTAGCGCTGAATTCACACAGATGCACAGAGGCAGGTAGAGTCCGTGCCTCGCCCACTCCCTCCTGGGCCCACGGTGAGCCCGCAGCCCTCTTTCCCACGGCTGACTGACATTCCCCGAGGCTTCGGGGCCTCACCGAGTGTCTCTCCCCAAACCTCAGGGTCCGGGCGTCCCCCTCCTCCTCCATCCCCAGACGTCACCAAGTCTTATGTTCCCCAAACCTCAGGGTCCGGGCGTCCCCCTCCTCCTCCATCCCCAGACGTCACCAAGTCTTATGTTTACAAACGGTGCCCGCCCGGCTCAGCCAGGGACCAGGGGCCGTCCCGTGCCTCAGTGCTGTGAGCACTCCGCCTCCCACTCCACCTCCATTAGCTTTCCCTGTGGCAGGGGGAGAGGGGGGTGCTTCTCTCTCAGATTCCAGATGGGCCCCTCTTTTCAGAGGCACAAAAGTGGGTGATGGAGAAGGCTGGGGACCTTTCGGACCTGTGCAGGCTGGGCTGGCCAGGGTCAAGGTGAACCTGCCTGCTACCCTCTCCTCCGATGACTGCTGCTCTCTGCCTCCCCTGCCGTCCCCCACGGGGTAGCCCAGAGGCACGCAGGATGCCGAGCTGTCATTGACTGGGCAGCAGGAGAAGGCAGCTCCGCCAGCCGGGAACTTACAACCTGGATCCTGTCTGCCTTTCCCCCACCCTATCCCTTCTTCACCCCCCACCCCATTTGTCTATGTAGCTCAATCTCCTGCTCACATAAGTATTGGGGGGGGCAGGCTGCCAAACCCTCCCTTGTCAACTTCCTCAGCTCCACACAGTCACACTGAGGTCACACCTGGATTATGCCCCAGGCATGGTGAGGGGGGCCCTTCTCCCATTGCACATGCCCATCGGGCTTCCCGTGCCTGGAACACCCAGCATTTCCCCGGCCCCTCCTGCCCCAAACCTCTGTCCTGGGCCGGGTATTGGGACCCCAGCCAGCAGCCCACCAGTCAGGGCAGTAAGATCTAGGAAACAGGCTGGCGGGAGGCCCCATAGGCTTCTGCCCAGCCCCCACACTGGGGACCCGCCTCCCCTCACCTCTTGGCCCCTGGTAGCCTCTCTGCTGGTTCCTCTCAGCCCAGCCCGCTGCACCTCACTAGGCCCGCCAGCACCCATCCCTGACAAGGTGGGGAGGGTGTCCCAGCCAGCATGGCCGCTCAGCCTCCTGACACTGGATTTCAGGGGTGGAGGGAGGTAAGGGAGTCATTGCACAGCATCCGTCGGGAAAAGGGGCTGGAATCCGGCCTCTCAGCCCAAACTCAGGAGCCCCGACCCTCCCTGCTGGGGCATTTTACTGTTTCTTTTCTACTCGGGCACATTCAGACCAGGGAAGGTGGTTAATAAAAAGGAGCTTGTGCTACTGAGCTGTGTGACCTGTGTCTGGTGCTGGGGACAGAGTCCAGGCCACTGCTGACGGGTGGGGTGGGGAGGGGTGAAGGTGGAGGATGGGGTGAGGCAGGGCCTTCTAGCTTTATTGTCTATAACCCCTGTCTCAGGAATGGGCACCATCCTGTTCTCTTTACCAAGTTGGAAACTACGAGTGGTGTTTTTTTAATCCTAGGCATGTTTTTTTTTTTAAATACATTTTATTTATTTTTTTACAGAGAGGAGGGGAGAGGGACAGAGCTAGAAACACCGATGAGAGAGAAACATCAATCAGCTGCCTCCTGCACACACCCCACCGGGGATGTGCCCGCAACCAAGGTACATGCCCTTGACTGGAATCGAACCTGGGACCCTTCAGTCCACAGGCCAACGCTCCATCCACTGAGCCAAACTGGTCAGGGCCTAGTCATGTTTTTTTTTTAAAGATGTTTTTGCCCTAACCGATTTGGCTCAGTGGATAGAGCGTCGGCCTGCGGACTGAAAGGTCCCAGGTTCGATTCTGGTGAAGGGCATGTACCTTGGTTGCAGGCACATCCCCAGTGGGGGGTGTGCAGAAGGCAGCTGATCGATGTTTCTAACTCTCTATCCCTCTCTCTTCCTCTCTGTAAAAAATCAATAAAATATATATTTTAAAAAAATAAAAATAAATAAATAAAGATGTTTTTATTGATTTGGGGGGGAGAGCTAGAAACATCAATGATGGGAGGGAATCATGGATCAGCTGCCTCCTGCCCACTCCTCACTGGGATTGAGCCTGCAGCCTGGGCATGTATGTGCCCTAAGAATCGAACCGTGGCCTCCTGGTTCATCATTGGGCTTCACAACTCTGAAGGCGCGGAAGCTGGGAGATGTTAAATAACTGGCCCAGGGACACACAGCTAGTAAAACGAGCCAGACAGCCTTCTCCCATACATGGACGAACAAGTGACAGGCGCTCTCAGAGGACCCCAGAAGGCAAGCTCAGGAACCTACAACCCCCACGCGGGCACCAGCACCACATCTCGGGGAGCCCTGGGGTCGCTCTCCCAGCCAGTCCACCTCGATGGTGCGATGTCTGCCGGCAAGTAGCTCTGGGCAAGTCGCGCTTCACCTCTCTGGGCTCATTTCCCGATCTCTAAAGTAGAATGGTAACCACTGACTTCATTACCTCCCGGGGAGAAGGGCAGCCAGTGTAAAGAAAGCACATGCCGCCCGGCAGGGTGGGTCAGTGGTTGAGCATCAGCCTATGAACCAGGAGATCACATCAGGGCGCATGCCCGGGTTGTGGACTCGGTCCCCAGTGGGGGGGTGCAGAAGGCAGCCAATGGATGATTCTCTCTCATTGATATTTCTGTCTCCTCCCCTCCTCTCTAAAAGCAATAAAAATATTTTTAAAAAAATAAGGCTCCTGACAATGACAGAGTGTTTTATAGCCAGAAATCCATGTTTAGAGAAGAAATATGAAAACTCACTCAGTTTCCCCTTGGGAGGACAAGGCGGTGCTTTCTCCATCTTTAACCCGCATACTGAGTTCTTTTTTTTTATATTTGATTTTCTAAAACATTTAATTTTAAATGATCATCTTTAATAGTCTCTTTAATAAGCTTGATCTGAAAATTGTGAAGAAAAATGTTGTATGTCCTCCAAAACTACTCTAAAATGCAGCATGCTTTTCTTGAGTTTTTTTTTTTTAATATATTTTATTGATTTTCCACAGAGAGGAAGGGAGAGGGATAGAGAGCCAGAAACATCGATGAGAGAGAAACATCGATCAGCTCCCTCCTGCACACTCCCCACTGGAGATGTGCCTGCAACCAAGGTACATGCCCTTGACTGGAATCGAACCTGGGACCTTTCAGTCCGCAGGCCGACGCTCTATCCACTGAGCCAAACCGGTTACGGCTTGAGTTTCTTTTATTATTTATTACACTGAGACATCCAAGATCAGCTTAGCATTTTTTTTTTCTTGGTGCGATGCAGGTCAGAATCAATAGAGTAGGGCTGCTGAAATCTAGCTGCGACACAAAGTCTTCACATTCATTTTAAATGTCATCTTCAGATTAAAGCAAAGCAGACAGAGAAGCAAGAAACGTGTGATAACATACGAGTTCCTGAAATGCCATTTAGGGGGATTAAAATCCTAAATTTGTCTTACCCAGGACATTCAAAAACCTGATGCTCTTTAAGCAGCAAGCAATAAGCAGTCTGGGATGGATAGATGTAAGGGCACAATCTGGTTATTGGTATGTCAACATTATCTAGGAAATTGGCTGACTAGTAAAAGAAAGAGAGTCTTTTCTTTTCCCGCAGATGGAGTTTTACAGATATTTGTTTCCAAGGACATCATTAGGCTTCTGCATTCAGTGCGTGCAGACCACGCCGAGGGGATCTTATTCTCGGGGCTCTGTGTGTCCCCTGGCTGGGGAGCCTGCCTTGGGCTTTTATCTGTTTTCCCGTGGATTGTAGGGGAGCCCGTGCGCCCCCTGCGAGTCGTAACTGTCGAGGTGCGGGAGCTGGGCCCACTCGGGCGGGTAGGTGGCCGTGATGTACACGAAGCACTGCAGGCGCCTTTCGGCGGCGGGGGGTTCCTCGGGGGCGCCCTCCGGCTCGAGCACCGCGACGCTCACCCGCACGCGCTGGTACAGGTCGGGGCAGCCTTCGAACTCATCGAGGAAGCGCAGCATCTGCTCGTCCACAGCGTAGATCTCCCCGAACACGCGGCGGCCGCGCCCCGGCAGGTTCAGCAGCCGCGGAATGTTATGCTCCCCGGCGATCACCAGGGGGAACGGCTCCGCCGTGCGGCCCCGGCCCCGGAAGGTGGCGCAGCCGTTGGTGGCGTCCAGCAGGACCTTGTGGTTGGGCTGGCCTCGCTTCAGGGTCCCGTACACGAACACGTCGGCCATCGGGCAGGCCTGGAGGCAGAATGAGCCAGGCCTCCGCCGAATGAGCCGATCGGGGAACTCGGTTAGCCGCCCGGTCCCGGTCCCGGTCCCGGCCCTCCCCGTCCTCCTGTCCCCACCGCCCCGCACCCCGCGGGCAGGGCCGGGACGCAGCCCCGGAGCAGCGCGCCGCGCAGGGACGGACGAACCGAGTCCCGGGGCCCCCGGGGCAGCCGCGCAGACCGGCGGCGGGGCAGCTCCGGGTCCTCGGCTCGGCCCCAGCCCGACCCTCACCTGCTGCAGAGCGCGGGGCCCTCGGGCCGCAGACTGAGCTCTTATCGGCTTAGGGCACAGATTCTGATTCGCTGGGTCTGGGTGGGGCCGGGGGTCCGCAGCCGAGGCTCCCAGTGCCGCCCGCGCTCTGGCTCCGGGACCAGACCTTCAGGAGCAGGGACTGGGGGGCAAAGGTCTCGGCCCCAGGGGTGCCTGGGTGGGGTCTCAGCACTGCCCTGACACCGTAGGAACTCAGGGAACCCGTTCACTTCTCTGAACCCCGCTTTCCTCACCTCTAAAGCCGGGATGAGGGTGTCCACCTTGTCGATGTCGATATTGTAAACCTTAAAGACAAACGGCCCAATTCTGGGACGCGCCTGGAAGAAAGCAGGGGTTATGTTGGTCAGCTCTCTCCAGGAAGGAGTGTGCCACTGCAGTTTCTCCCCTTGGCCACTAGAGGTCGCCATTGTGTAATTCCTGCTTTTGGGGAAGTGAGGCGCCCAAGCCTCAGAGGAGTGACCCCGGCCTCTGGGTCAGTAGGGCTCCTGGTGATCTCACTGCTGCCTAGAAATTCTAAGTGGAATCCCTACACCCGGGCAGGGCCTGCGGTCTGGAGGGGGACTCAGACCAATCCACCACAGAAACTAGCAGTTGTGGGTGGACTAACAGTGTGCTAGGTGGAGGTTAGATATTGCAAATCCAGATTTGGTAACAATTCACTGCTAAGATACAATGAAAAAAATTTCTAAATATATATATTTATATATATAAAATAAGGGGCGTGCCCTCCTAGTTGCTAGATGGGACGCTGGCAGGTTCACAAATCGCTCGGTAAAGCCAGTAGATCTTCAAAAGAAAATTTTCAGTCGGTGTGGAAGAAGGCCAAAGAGTGTCGCCAGGAAGACAAGCAGACACGCTGTCCTTCAAACACTGTGTTTCCTGGGGGAGAGGGTGCCGGAGCTGGTCCATCCTTGCTGTTTCAAGGGACCTGGCATATATGGCATACTGTTCTTAATATGTTTGCTCACCTTCTTGGCACTATGTGTTTTAACCAAGGTCACTTCTCTGAGAAAGGTTGTTTCCCCAGGTAGGGATTTTCCCCTGAAGTTAGGGAGGGAATAAAACCCCTTAACTAAGTGCCAGGCGGGTAATTAATCACTTTAACTACGAACAATCATGCTTAAGCCACATAATCTTTACTCCCTGGAATGGAGATAAGAAACTCCCTAACCTTTGGAATAGAGATTGATAGGATTGGAATCAACTGGGATAAATACAGATGTAACAAGACAACAGGACACAGAACCTAGACACAGAACCTACACAGAACCTAGAGACAGAAGAACTTCGCTGGAGAGAACATGGCAAAAGATCCTGGACAGAAACTGGCCACAGAACCTAGACACAGAACCTAGCGAGAGAACATGGCAAAAGATCCTGGACAGAAACTGGCCACAGAGCCTAGAGACAGAACCTAACGAGAGAACCTGGCTGAAGAACCTAGAGACAGAACCTGGCTACAGAACCTGGATAGAACATGGCAAGAGAACCTGACTAGAACCTGGTGACTGAACCTGGCTGGAGAAGCTGAACAGAACCTGGCTGGAGAACCTAGCAAGAGAACATGGACACAGAACCTGGCTGGAGATCCTAGCCAGAACTTCGCTGGAGATCCTGACCAGAACTTGGCTAGAGATCCTGGCTAGGCTGCTGATCAATTGAACACTGTCTCCATGCCATTCCTTCTTCGCCGACTCCGTCCACACCTTTGGGGATCCCTGGACCTGCTGGGGTTGGACCCCAGCAAGAGGGGAGGGAAGGGAGACAGGCACAGGACCCACCCATTTGGTCATTTTTCCATTAAAAATGAAACCGATGTATTTCCACTCCAACATGCAAGGAGCGCGGACATGCTCACTCCATCCTGACACCAAGCTGGAAAGCCATCAACTCTTAGATCGGTAAGATACGTCAGGTTACGGTGTACCTGGATGGGAAGGAGCAAGCGCTGCAGACAAATAATGGAGCAGAGACTCACCAGCAGAACCCTCCATGGGAACCAGTGCCAGGGTATGGAAGCCGGAACTATAATCGATGACCTGCTGCAGGCTCACTCAGGCAAGTCAGAGATACAAGCTCCAGGGGACCCAGTCATAGCGGGTGGGGAGGTGGCCATACTTTACCTCCCGGAGCTCCATCAGGCTCTCACTGTAAACAGAAGAATCCCCTTCGTGCTTCTGGCAGAAGGATAAAAGGAACTACTTTGAAAAGTGCCCTAGCATTCATTCCCTTCTTCATAGGATCTGTCCTCAGGAGAAGTGGGGTTTTATAAGAACTTAACTGACCTACGGGCAGGGGAAGACCCAACTCCAGCCAGCTCTAGCCCTCCAGCTGGGGGGCGGGGCGTCCCCAGCTCCAGCCCGCTCTAGCCATCTGGTGGGACTGGAAGGGGAACTGAGAGGCACATGTGAAGTTCACATGCAGAATGCAGGCTCGCTGAAAGACTGATGGGATCATCGGGCTGTAGAACACTGCCCCGGCCCCCACACCCTACCACCACCTCAGTAAAGGCCCAGCAGTTCCTTTACCCAGTATATTAAGTCCAGCCATCAAGAAAAAATTATGAGGATGTATCGGGTTAAATAAAGTGTATTATTAAAATTTCTTTAAATTGTGAAAAATAAAGAAAAAATTGTAAGACTACTAAAAGGCAAAACAAAGCAAAACAAAACAAAAAACAAAACCAACCCACAAAAAAACAAAACAAAACAAAAAACCCAAAAACACAGTTTAAAGAGACAGAGCAAACATCAGAGCTAGGCTTCTGGCAGGGATGTTGAAATTATCAGACCAGGAATTAAAAACAACTCTGATTAAAATGCGAAGGGCTCTAATTGGCAAAGTAGATGGGCAATGGAACCAGACAGGTGGAAATTCTAGGAAAGAATCTGAGTCTCAGGACATCTCAACACTGAAAAGCAAATAGAAAAAAAAAAGTCAAAAAAAGAACAGAAAAGAAACAACTACTGAAAGAGTAACTACTTTTAGTAGAGACAAGGACTGAAAGAGTAACATATGTATAATGGGAATACCAGAAGGAGAAGAGAGAAAGGAACAGAAAATATATTTGAAATAATACTGGCTGAGAATTTTCCCCAAATTAATGTCAGACACCAAACCACAGATCCAGGAAGCTCAGAGAAAACCTAGCAGGATAAATGCCAAAAAATATGACACATAGTCATTAAAAAAATTTTTTTAAAGCAAAGATAAAGGGAAAAAACCTGAAAGAAGCCAGGACATACATACATACATACATACACAAACAAACAATACACCTTACTTATAGAGAAGCAAAGAATTACATCTGACTCCTCAGAAACCATATAACCAGAAGAGGGTTGAGTGAAATATTTCCAAAGGTGAGAGAGAAAAAACACCAACCTAGAGTTCTGTGGTCCGTGAAATGATTCAAAAGTGAAGGAGAAATGAAGACATTCTCGGACAAACCAAAATTGAGGGGGAAGGTTTGAGGGAATTTGTTGCCAGTAGATTTGCTTTGAAAGAAGTGTCTAAAGAGCCTGGCCAATGTTGCTCAGTGGTTGAGCGTTGACCTATGAACCAGGAGGTTGTGGTTCAATTTCCCATCAGGGCACTTCGTGTTGTGGGTTAGATCCCCAGTGTGGGGCATGCAGGAGACAGCCAATCAGTGATTCTCTCTGATCATTGATGTTTCTATCTCTCTCTCCCTCTCTCTTGCTCCCTGAAATCAATAAAAATATATTAAAACAGCAACAAAAAAGAAGTGTCTGAAGAAGTTCTTTAGAGAGAATGAAAATGAGATAAAGAAGATTATCACAATAATAAAACAAGAAAAAAGTGCTTTGAAAAATGAACAAAATAAAATCTAGCACCACGAAATTACAAGTGTGACAACCAAATTAAAAAATAAATTAAAAGAAGAGTTGAAAAGTTAAGAAAATTTCCCAGAAGAAAAAAAAAAGCAGAACAAAAAGACTAAAGAGATGGAAAAAAAGAGATAAGATAACTAGAGTTTCAACTCAGGTCCAACATCTGTCTAACTGGAACTCCAGAAATAGGGAACAGAAAAAAGGGGGGCTAAGAGCGGGGAGGAAAGAAGGAAAATATTATCAAAGAAATAACTCATGAAAAGTTCCCAAAACTGAAAGAGATGAGTCTCCATACTGAGGCCAGTACATTGAATTTTAAGAGCTGCACACTGGAAATAAAGAGAATATCAAAGATTTTCTGAGATGGTAAGGGATGGGGAGAGGAGGGGGAATGGCGAGGGGGGTGGAGAGAGGCAGAGGGGAGGCGTGGGGGCCAGGAGGGGAAGAGGCATTCCTCTTAGCATCCTTGCAAGCTAGAAGATAGCAATGCCTTCAGAATTGTAAGTGAAATTTTTCTACCTAGATTTCAGTATACAACCAAACTCTCAATCAAGTGTGAGGCTGAAATAAAAATATTTCCAGGTAAGCATGGGAGTATATAAATGTGTATCCTATGCAGCCTTTCTTAGAAAGTCACTGGAGAACATGCTTCCACAAAACAGAGCTGTAAAGGAAGAAAGCAGAAGGCAAAGCATCCAGGAAGCAGAGTCAGCTTCACAAGAATGACCTAGGAGGGTGGTTCCAGAAAGGCTGCTGGGCAGCCGACCAAAAGGTAGCCACTCAGTTGTCGCAGGAATATGGAGAGCTACAGAAGAAAGTTCTCCAGGGGAAAAATGAAACTCGCCTGGCCGGGTAGCTCAGTTGGTTAGAGCATTGTCCCGATATGCTAAGGTTGCAGGTTCAATCCCTGGTCAGGGCACATACAAGAGTCAACAAATGAATGCATAAATAAGTGTAACAACAGATCTCTCTCTCTCTCTCTCTCTCTCTCTCTCTCAATATCAATCAATAAATAATAATAAAAAAAGAATCAGCCCCAGCTGGTTTGGCTCAGGGGATAGAATGTCGGCCTTCAGACTGAAGGGTCCCAGGTCCAATTCCAGTCAAGGGCACATGCCTGGATTGTGGGCTCAGTCCCCAGTGGGGGGCATGCAGGAGGCGGCCCATCAGTGATTCTCTCTCATCATTCATGTTTCTCTCTCTCTCTCCCTCTCCCTTCCTCTCTGAAATCAATAAAAATATATATATTCTTAAAAAGAATCAACCGATGAATATGTAAATAGATGAAACAACTGGTTAATGTCTCTCTCTTTCTCTTTTTCTAAAAAAAAGAATCTATCTTTTTTAAAAACCTACAT